CATGACTCTTTTCTCTGCAGTGATTTTCCAGCACTCACAGAGATGATCATTCAGTATTGTAAGTTCTCTGGAGTGACAGACAAGGAAAGCCAGACAGCTCTGAAGATAACAGCACACATCGGATTACCTGGAGCCTTGTCTTGGAAAGTTTTATTCTTTGACAAAGAGGCATATCAAAGAGAAGTACTTTTCCTGGAGAACATTCCATAACTTAAGCCCTTTTACTATACAAAATTCCTGCACAGCTGTGGGGAGTTTGAATAGAAGGAGACCAACCTTGTTACAATAGAATACCCCAATGGATTCAGGTGCAGATGCCTGGACTATGCACTCAAAGTAGCTGTCCTCAGAAGATGCCGCCACCACTTTCGTATGGCAGCTCTGCTATTCACATGATGGAAAGAGAGGGAAAACTCACAGACAAAAGTTCTAACACTAGACATGTATGAAATTTGCCCACACAGAATGAAGACAAGGAGTGCAGGAAACATGCTGTCATGACTGATTTGGAGTCTTTTGTGCTTCAGGCAGTGTAAGGAATGAACCTGGCTTTGTGTTTTAGCAAAATCTGACTTTCTCTGCAGCTTTCACTAGGAAGCTGATACTTCAACACTACGAATTATGAATTCCTACTGACCTAGAACCAGTGTAAAATAAAAGTCTGTAATTACGGTACTTTTACTGTGCTTAATACAACCAGTGGCTGTTAATTGTGATTCTGGACAATACAGTACAATTATTTTCTCTTTGTAGTGTTGCAGCTGAACATTTTGCTCTTTATGCCTTTCTTTCACAATGAAAAGGATCAACATGACACCAATGATCTCAAAAGCCTGCAGTAATTTCACATCATTTTTGATTACAGAGAATATCACCTCAGGACAGTCCACAGGCAAATGGTCAATATATTTTGCTGGGATAAAAGAATCTTCATTAAAGTCCTTGATGTGTTTGGTTCCAGACGCAAATTCATGTTTCACCAGAGTACTTGGTACCTCACCAAAAAAACAGAGCTTTTCTGAAAACTTCAGTTTTGAGCAGCCAATATTTTTTTGGGAAGAATCATTTCACTTGAAAGTGGCAAGATGTTTTGGGGTTATTTGCTTCCTGGAGAAAGCAACTTATTAGCAAATCACCATAGAAACCTCATGTGAGCACCATCAAAGAGTACTTAAACTGGCAACAAAGAAATACCAGCATCTCAGAAAGTCCTGTTTTCATGCAGACACCATTTGAGCAAAATATCAAATCTTGGTAATAAACACATAAACCAAACTATAGTAAACACTGGCGATTGATATTTTTCATGAAGTTAAACATTTACTAAAAAGTTAAAACAGTGTATAGCATTTGCACCAGAAATTTAGGTAAGTTCTGTAAACATCATTAAGACCGGAAAAAAAAGCATGCAGAAATATGTTAAGAATGCCTTCTGTAATGCAGTTTGAATTAAATTCATAGCACATTAATGTCTACAATGATCACAACAGAGTTACTAAAGTAAATTTCAATGAGGCCTAGGATCTCTTAGTCTTCTAATTACAAAATGTATTTGCTTTCCCAGGAGATTGTATGCAATACTTTTATTCCAAAATAAATATTCTCAGTCATTCATTGTCCCTTAATTCAGCTGGGTAAATAACTGTAACCTTGTCTTCATGGTACACAGACCTTTTGCAGAAGCTAGTCCAAAGCAATGAAAAAGAGGACAGACACTCCATTACGTATACTTCTCTCTCCTTTCATAAAGACAGCATAAGAGTAAACATACAAAAAGCTAAATACCCCTGATGGAGGACACTCATATAGCATTGTTAAAGGTTGTAGGAGGATCTGTACTAAGTGCTGTAACGTGAGGTCCTCTAGAATTACATTCCTCCAGTTCTTCCATTCAACTTGTGTAAGAAAGCAGTGTTGCAATGTTTCACATTTTTGAAGTCATTTGCTGTATTGTCTGTATGTTAGAGCCCTACTCAGCAACTGGGCCACACAACAATGGAAAAAGACTTCAGATGTAGTGTTGAACTCCAAGATCTGGAGCCTGATTTGCACTTAGATTCGTTCATTACCCTTCATCAAGGTAAGGAGCTTTAATGTTAAGGAAAATCAACCTTTTTTTCTACTCTGGGATTAAACCTAATTATTGTACAATAGCTAAAAGAATTGAGCACTTCAGCAGGTATCTCCTTTGGGAGCAAACGTGCTGGTAATTTCCCTGGTAGGCTTCTACCCCATGGTCAAAACTGAGCAGGTGCTCTGTGGTGGTATCCTTGCACTAATGGAGGCACTGAAACTGCTGGAACATTCGTGGCTTTCAGCTCTTGGCAATGGCTTAGAAAAATCACGCAAAGGAAGCAATGGATGAGGACCATGAGATGCTAACCAAAAATTATTTGATAAAATGAAAGCATGGTTGCATGGGTAATGTATGTCTGAGCTTAATCTGACTGCAGCTGGCAAATATGCTTTTCCTAAGCATATATTTACTGGATACTATCCAAAACAGAAGACAGCACTAGACTGAGCTTTTGATCAACCTAGTATGGCAGCTCTTACATTCTCATAAACCCCTGAACAGCCAATATACCCTATCACTAACTTTAATAATCAGAAACAATAATACTGGGACCTACAGAAATGCTCGAGTGATATAAATAAATAATCCTATTATGCAGGGATATGAGTTAATTATTGGCACCATCATAAAACCACTGTGCTGCTGCTATCTCAGTTATTTCTGCAGTAACTTAACCACTTTCTAGCAGTGGCAACCTACAATGACAGATGAGGAAGAATGACCTGAAATTAAATTGAAAGATATAATAAATAAGCTACAAGAGTATCTGTACTTGTCCAGTACTATATTGTCTTCATTTCTTCTCCCTTGCCACATTTCCACTGACATGAGGAGGTAATTTACAATGTCAAGGAAATCCATGTCTGCCTGTGGTGAATTACTGCATTCATATTTCTACTTGTTTGTAGCGAACTAAAGTCATAATAAGTCCAGCTACGTAGATGAGTCATACAGGCTGTCTTTCATTTAACAAGACATCTTTAAATACCACTCTTATTTAACTTGTACTCATTACCATCAGCAAGCAATGTGTGTGCCATACTATCCTAATTGCCCGAAATTTGAGCAAGTAAATCATTAAAAGGTTAAGTTATTTTTCATGCTAAATATAATGTGGAGTATTAATCTGCTTTATTTTGTTATTATGAGTAATGTAATGTCCTATAGTTGTATCAATTTATAATTATGCCAGATCACATGGTGGGGGGAAACAAGAACAACAAACAACAGACGGATGTCATTTCTGCTTAAATTCTCTATGTAAATTACAAACTGTTAAGTTAGACAAGGCTTTTTTTGCAGAATACAACATCCAGATGGAATCTCATCAGCAGAGCAAGCATTGAGACACATCTTTGTCTCAACTTTTTTAAAAGCAAAGTAACCAAATATCTTTCAAACAACACCCAGCCTGTTTTATATTTCCCTATTTCATCCTTAGGCCTGAGTTTTGGTATTACTTCTAAATACAAATCCTTAAGACAACAGCGAAATGCAGACATTTTGGGAAAGGATGAGACATTGATGCCGAGAAAAGGCATCAATGAACGTTTAATGTATATAATGTATAAAAACTGTGAAGTTTTTGTCCCTGGTAGCTCAAGTTTGGTGGAGCAATCCCCCTTGTGCCCAGCGCTGAATAAACAAATACCTGCTACTCAGAGATACAAGCCTGTGAGTAGTTCTTTTCCAGCCTTTTCTTGGCATCAACATGCATGAGACAATTTCATGTGTTGCTGACTACACCACCATAGGATGGATCTTATTGTCCAACTATCCCTATAATGTGGAGATATAAGGAGGTACAACATTATACATGGATAGTTAAATGCACTTCATAGTAATATTAAACTAGATAGTGGGAAAGAATTGATTGTACATCAATTAGCCAGAAAACTCTAACTGCTGTAATGCTATCTCTGACAACTCTATTGCAGATGCAAATTGATCTAATTTTGTTCATCACAATTAATGTGATTCAAAGTGAAATTTCCATTTATTTGCTCTGATAAGTTGCTTAGCCTTAAAAACTCTGAGGTATTGCCTGTGAGTCTGCTTTCCTACTATTGTACAGCAGGTAGCTTCCATTTGCATGCATCTTGTCTCTGCATTGGATGTATTAACCATTGCTGAGAGTTATATGACTAAATTAGGGAAAAGAATAAAAGATAACTTTAGATTAGTTATACAGGTACAGCATATTTATTTCTGGGAAAGAAAAAACCAACCCACACATATTCCAAAGTCTTATCTTCAAATAGTTTTGGCAATTGCCCTTTATGTCATTATGTACTTTGAAATGGCAGTTGTTGGCAGGACAGACAGATGTGATAATAGGCGATATTTTTTATCCTGATAACCATAGCCACAGAGTTTGTGTGTTCTCTGCATCATAAGAAATCAACCTTTTAAGATGTTCCAGATCCCATAAAACTAACAATTGGCAAAGAGTATTATAGATTACACACTATCAAGATAAGACAGCAAAGATTTTTCTTTGTATTATTTTATGATTTACATTGTAAAATACTATGGGAAAATGCAGTGAAGCAGGAATATATAAGGCAAATAAAATTTATTTATATTGCCAACATATGTGGACCATTCATCATTCATTCTCAGAAAGTTAGATATGTTTGAAAGCTATGGCAGATATCATCATGAAATATCTGTTTCAGAACAGCTTTGTGATAAGAGTATCTTAGGTCAAGTGGAACACCTATGTGTGTGGTCTCATCACTTACTGCTAGATGTAAAATGAAATTTACATTTATGATTAAAGCCAGAAAATATGCTTTCAAGCAGAACTGGAATCACTATTTTTGGTTAGATATTAAGCTGAACATCTTGACAAAAATAATATGCAAGTCACAAGACTAGGGAGAAAAGTGCTGTCAAACAAATGATGAAAGACACCATTTACCTTGTGCAACTGATAGTATTGCTTGGCACCTATTCCTCCTTGCTCTTCTCCTGTCCATAGCACCAAGCGCAGAGTCCTTTTAGGGCGAAGTCCTAAAACACAGTTTTCAATATTGTTTTTTAGCACTAAACAGATATATATTTGAGCAATTTTTTTTGCATTGACCTCCACTCTCCAATTGCCTGGATTTCCATTCAGTCATCTCTGCCAAACACAACCTATTTCAAGTGTGGGTTTTATTGTCTAGAACACTGGTTTCTTGTTGAGGGAGAAAGACTGGGGTGCAGAAGAGAGCTCATGTGAGGAAGGAGTGGGCAGTTGTGGTGCTGGAACCAGTTGTAGTAGCACAAGAGAAGCACATTTCAGAGACATTTTGTAAGTGTCTGAAGACCATAACATCTAGTAACTACCTTGATAGATTTCTGAAACACAGTGCTGTCACTGTAGTGGTCTGCAGTGAGTAATGCACATCCGCTTTCAGCAGATCCAAATCAAGCTTTCATGAGAGTTACCATTGCTTTGTCATGGTTAATTTGTTACAATTAATTGAAAATGAACTGCTGTGTTTTATGAGAAAAGTTTACCCATTTCAAGAACTGAGAGGCTCTGCAATATTATTTCGGTTTTTATCAGAGAAATGAAATGCAACAATCTGTACTTTGGAATCTGAAAGACAGTCAGCTGCTGAATATATGCACAGCTTTCTGAAACAAGGCGAACATGAGGTCATTTTCTGTTTTGCTATGGTAACTCAGTAAGAAAGATAAGCTCCCAGATAAATTTTGAAACCATTTTTACCATGGCAGAACTGAACAGATAGAAGTTGTTGCCCTTTATTTATTTGATTGTTTCTATTCATAAATGAATACATTTGAGACATCAAACCTGAGAGCATGGACAAGAACACAGATAAAGAAGAAAGTGTCCTCTGTGCACTGGAATGTTAATTATGTTAGAGAAAAACCAACGAAAAACAGTGAGAAGATTATCACAAATGATAAAGCATAAAGTACCACACACACTTTGTGCTGAGGAGAAATAATATCAATATCACTGTCAAAACTTATTTCATTTCCTAACTGAAATGAATAAAGATTACCAATAGACCCGACCTTCAGTAATTTTTTCTCTCAACACAATGAATATGATCTGAAGATTTCTTCCTCGAAACAACATGCTAGCAATCTTTCCAACAGAAGGCAGATTATAGGAGGAATACTCAAAATCTGAAGAAAACAGCTTGGAGTTTTCAATATTTGATTATGAAGAAAGTGCAAACAAGTGGTTTAAAGGTGTATTTTCTAAGTGTTTATCTGCTGACTGTAAACAGAAAGGTTGTCAAACCTCATGATTTTAAAGACAACCTCCTGAACATCTCCTAGTGGATTCCCTGCTCTTCGCCTAAATCACGACCATACAGGATTAGCATCCTTCACTTTTCACATCAGTCAGATGACCAATGAGGCAAAATTAAGATAATAAAATAGCTATCAACTTGAAGTCAGAAAGATTTAAGCTCAAAATAACCACAAATGTGTGAGCAGCTTGGTTAGGAGAGGTGGCTATAAAAACAAAAATAGTGCTAGGTATAAAGCATAGAGCAGCCAGTCCTGTAGTACGGTTTCAGTGGCACTGCAGTTGAAACGGAGAAAAAATTGTGTATTGGTCATATCACAACATGCAGTACTGAAGCCCAGTCTCCAACCCACCACACCAAGGCTGTGAAAGCAGCTATGGAAGGAAATGCTTGGGACAGGGAAGCAGCATCTCCTGCCTCCTCCCAGACAAAAATCAACATGCTTTAGTTTGCTGCTGCTGCTACCCTAAGGGGGACTTGGGTCAGTCATCAGGGACTTCGCATTTGGTTCAGACAGCCTGTAACCCCACTGATCTTTACTGCTCTGCAGGAGCTTGAGAAGGTCTTAGTTCACTTGTGAAGAAGTTTAAGATTCTTATGGTCCCCTCCTAGCCCATCATTGCATCTGTCCATTGAAGTGGGAGAAATAAAAAAGCCCTGCTGAGTTTCAGTCTTTCCAGTCCCAAAGGTGATGTATGAGCTCTTTGCATCTCACAGAGTCCTGCCAGAGATTTCAGTTGTGTGTTCTACTGAAATGTAACAGGCAACTAAAAAAATAATAAATAAATATCTATCTCTGTAAGCTATGGAGACAGTTATTTTAAATACAAACAAAGTCAACAGAGGAAAATTTCATTTCCTCATTATCTTTATCTGAAAATGATAAGTCTTTATCTACCTGTTATTACAAACAGTGCTATTCTGATCAAAGAATGTCAAACAAATCCAATAATCACAAGTAAAATTGCTAAGGATGCATGTTTTTTATACATAAAAAAATAAAAAAAATTTAAAAGTACTGTACGTCAGTTACAAATACTTTTAAAATTAAGATTGTCTCTTTCATTTGCTTCTTAAAAATTACTTGTCCCTACGCAAGGTATTACCTTCACAAAATCAGAAGTCTTGCAGCTCATAGCCCAAATATGTATTGAAAAGACATGATAAAATAGTAATTGGACTAGAAAACTATGCTTTATGATGGGTGTACTTCAGAGAGGGGTAGGTAGACAATTTTAAGATGAAGGAAAATGGTTTCACAAATAAAATAGTGCCTCTTTCCTTTTTATCTGTATAAATGACTTATTACATAGTATTTAAAATAAAAAAAAAGAGGACATCGGAAGAAAAAACCTACAGATGAATTCACAAATCTCCAATGTTTTAGGAAAAAAGTATTAGCTTTTTTTTTCCTCTGTCTTACCCTTAACTGGAAAATACAATCATAACTTACCACATCGGTGTGTTTTACTGATCAGTCTCTACATTCTCATGGTTTACCTCAAGCATAAAAAATACTATAGGTCACCCAGGCTCCTAAGCTAGAGAATGAAATACAAACATCAATAGTCAATCTATGACTAAGGATACATGTGTAGTAAGCACAGCAGGAGACTTGCTCTATTACACTCCCTCTGTGCTGTAGTGGCTGCTAGCCCTTTCACATTCTCCTCGGGTGCCACAAACACTTCAGTCATACCAAGATGCAGTTCTTATTGACTCTATTTTCTGTATCTTTTAAATCATCATAGATTGCTCACACTTGCAGATATCAGCAAGACCTGAATATTATGTCCTACATATATTGCTCATGCTTGATAGAATTGAGACTTTCCCACACAGCAAAACTGAAATGTATTATTTGGTGTATATGGAGGCAAATTCTGATCATCTGTCACATGTGATGTAAAACAATAAACATGCTCCACCCTCAAGACAGCACATAAGCCAGGAAGGAGAACTTGAATTGTCTTTTTCAAATCAAAATAGAGATCAGTACTGTAAATACTTCTGCAAATACTGGTTTCCTTCAGGAACTATTTCCCCATAAAATAGTGGGAAAGATAAATACAAAGATAAAGTATTTTCTAAGAAGACAGTGTATAGATGTCTAACATACTTCCTCAATGTTGTTATACGACTGATCCGCTCACAAAAACCAAAAAAGCATTCCACCTTTATGAAAACAGATTTTTTTCCCTGTCAGTCAAGGAACTGGGATCACATACAAGCAAATCAAATATCTGACATATAAGCTCCTGTATATCTGGCATATAAGTTCAAATATCTGACATATATGTCTCATGTAAGCTTCAGCTTACATGAGGCATATAAGTGAACTGCAAAAGGATGTGATTATATTAACAGGTGTTGTGGTTTATCCCCAGTCAGTGACCAAACTCCCATGCAGCCACTCGCTGACATCCCCCACCAGCAGGATGGAGGAAAGAGCGAGAAGGGTAAAAGCTAGAACACTTGTGGATTGAGATAAAGACAGTTTAACAAGTACAGCAAAAGCTGCACACAAAAGCAAAGCAAACCAAGAAATTAATCCATCCCCAAGGCTCTACATAAATGGCCTAGCAAAGTGTTGATCTGAGCATAAAGTAGAATAAGCTGCACAGACAAGGGAGGTGAATCTGCCCCTCTACTCTGCTCTGGTGTAACCCCACCTGGAGTACTGCATCCAGCACTGGAGTCCTCATCACAGGAAAGACATGGATCTGTTCCAGCAGGTCCAGAGGAGGGCTACAGAGGTGATGAGAGGGATGGAAATCCACTCCTATGAGAAAAGGTTGAGAGAAGAGAAAGCTCCAGGGAGCATTCCAATACCTGAAGAGAGTCTATAAGAAAGATGGGAGAGACCTTCTAGCAGGGCCCATGGCAGTAAGGATAAGGGGCAGTGGTTTCAAACTAAAGGATGGTAGATTTAGACTAGCAATAAGGAAAATGTTTTTTTCAATGAGGGTGGTGAAACACTGGCACATGTTGTCCAGAGAGGTTGTGGATGCCCCATCCTGGAAACATTCGAGGACATGTTGGTTGGAGCTCTGAGCAACCTGATCTAGTTGAAGATGTCCCTGCTCATTGCAGGGGGGTAGTTCTAAATGACCCTTCAGGATGCCTTTCAACCCAAACTGTTCTATGATTCTGTGTTCCCTTCCTTTCTAATACTGCCTAAGTCACTGCTGCATTTGCTTCAGCAGCTGCTAGAGATATATACAAATATATCAATGTCATGTCTTGTCCACTTCTGCATTGAACAGTATGAGCTATGTTCTTTTCTGCATTGTTACCCTGTGGCCTGGAATTTCTTTTAAAAGGTACTTATACAAAAAGTAGTAACATACAAGATGATGCTGCTGACAATCATTAAATTCCTCCTGCACTCCTTACCTTTTTCAGGTCTGAAGATGATTATGCATAGGGAATTTACTGTGTGACATTAGTTGGGATATTTCTATCATGCATGTACTTCTCATAAAATGTGTGGAATTTCTAAAACCTCTGCCACAGCATAAGATACAAATAAAACCAGTACTCTACATTTTGCTAAGGAAGATTAGAATTCATCATCAAAACCAGTGGTACAATCTGCTTGCATTTGAAGAGACTATTACCTAATTTATGTATTCTGTGGCATGGGCAAGCACTGTTTTAGAGAAAAGAGTCTTATCCCTAGCCTGTTTCCCTGGCTAATTTTAAAGAATATACATACCGAAATAATCTGCAATT